AATCAAAATTGAGATTCCATTTTTTTGTTAAAATTTAAATATTTCCAAGAAATTTTTTAATTTTATATACAATTAACTATTTATTTGTTCTTTGAGAGATTGATGTTACGTCTGATGTAGAATTTTAATTTGATGTTTTTAAATCGGCTTTCAGACAAAATATCAGTTTTTCTTGATCTTTATCTTTTCATTTTTAATTATATTGTAGAGATTCCTGATGATGATCATTTTCCCCGGGGTTTTCCCCAAGGGGATTCCCGGGGGAACTTTTTTTGAATCCCCTTTACTCATGTCATTATTAATCAATCATTAATCAAAAGTCACAAGAAACTTTTTAAGCATCGCAAAACCCCGGTAAATGCTTCATTTTCTTATGATTCTTCGACGATGGAAAAAAAATGTAAAAACCCGACCCGAAACCCGCGGGTTTTTTTAAAACCCGACCCGAAAATTCGGGTTTTTTTAAATACGGGTTTTGGAAAACTCTAGGCAGCTTTAATGCGAGCTTCCAATCCCTCCAACTTTCTCTCAGCCACCAATATCTACGAACATGAAAAAAATATGAAATATTGAAATAGTTGTGAAGAAAATGATTATGAATATTATTATTATTAGTCAACTATTTACCTCTCCTTGAATTGTGTTAAGTCGTTCATTTCCTGCATTTCCACATGGGCAGTGTGTAAGAAAGCCCAAAACGTCCCAAATTACACCATCTGTGTTTTTTTTAAAAATTGCTGCATATGGTGTTTTTAATTTCATTCTTACTTCGCATCGGTTTCGTTCAAAGCCAGTGTGCCTTAGATCTACTACTACCTGAAAAGTGTAATAAACAGTTGATAATCTTTTTGTTAGTATTAAAGAATTGGTATTGTGGGATAAAAGAGTTTACTCTCCTATGGAAATTTCTACCACGCTTATTCGCTTGAAATTGAAAAAGTTTCTATGACGAAGAAAGATAATAAAATTTCATAATTTTGCTAGATTGCAATCGAATTACCTTATTCGCTTTATACATTTTGATGTAATTTATTGATAGCATAATATTTATCACCAACGACAACAAAATATACTGAGCGACTTTTAAAATATTAAATTCACAAGACATGAAGAACAATTTTATAATCGTTGATGAGTGGAAGTCGTGTTATTGTTTATTTGTAATTTAATATAAAATATACCAAATGAAAATACAATAAAAAAAATCCATCTTAAAGGATGATCCTACTGACTATATTTTTAACGTTTTTACTTGTTGTAGCTCAAAGCGTTGAAATCTTTTGTTATTCAATTCACTGAAAAAATATTTCTCGCCATATTCCAACACATGATATCGTATTTGTTTTTTCTTACTTGCACTTAGATTCCCTTAAGCGTTTTGAAATGACTTTTCAGAATCACTCGAACCATGCCATACTTTTTTCTTTTTATTTCTATCTGCTTGCAATGTTCAATATTAAAGAATATTGTAAGAAGTTAGACTCTATGAACTTTAGTATGGTTTCACCTGGCAACTCTCTCGTTACAAACTTCCACTTATTTCAACATACGTCTACATATTATGATAGCAACAGAAGCCAACAGTATGTAAAGAAAAATAACTCGAATCGAGTGAGGAAATTTTCTGTTCGTGATATTTGCTTGTTATCAAAGTTTGCAGTTTCTTATTCTTCTGATAAAACATTTGATGAAAATATAATTTTCTTCGTAGGTAAGATAAATATCATATTTGAAGCTGTCTAAACATGGAAAACATAAAAGAAAAACTAAAATTTGTTTTCGATTAGGTAATTAGAATTTAATTTTAAACAGTCAAAAAGTTTTTTTTACAATTTATCACGATTCGCTGTACATGGCACATGCCAAAGTATTTGAGTCTAGCAGTTTGTATTTCCATCAAAATCAAGTTAAATTCATACTCTGTCCAACATTTCAGACTTCATTATTGATTCTTGTAACAGTAAATAACAATTTTTTTATGCAATTTATTGCAAGTGTGCAAAAGAGATTTGGTTGTCAATTATTTACAATGTCTAATAACGATTCCTGTTTTATCTTCCATTTTGCAGCTGATATGTCATCGTCATCCCCTTCAAAATCGTTGGTACATTCATATCTGACAATATGCTGGGTTACTTTCTACATCTGTACAATATGCACAATATTATTCTATTCATTACGTGTTGGAATTTCCTGATTATACTACTTGAAGGAGGTTGTTAAGATATAAAACATCTGACAACTTTCTGCCAAAGTGTGCAAAACAGAACAGAAACGAACAGCAGATTCTCACATTTTCTCATGTACACCAAGAAATGAAAAAATTCTGTTATTAGTTATTAATAGGATTACATAGAGTACATTTTGAAATTATAGCTTAATTGTGTGTATGTTAAATAAATGCCAAATTTTGATCCAATTGATCTCATCAAACTTTTAGAAACATCAACTCGTCATGGGTAAAGTTTCAAGTGAAAATTTCTTTTCTAATGAAAATCTTTTTGCAAAGAGCTTTTCAGTAGAAGTCAAAATTAAAATTAGAGAAGAAAAATGAGCGGGGACGTAAATTGCGTGTGAAAAATTTGATCGTGACGACAACTGAGTGTCGAATGGTTTTTCATGAACGATACCTTTATTCAAGATAAAATACCCATCAGCATAACAAAGGAATCGAAGAAACGACACTAACTTCAATGGCAATTTAATATCTAGTCCTAACCAACTTCTCTCAAGAAACAAAGCAAATTTCACGCTCATTTCACTCAAAAAGTCATTAATCATTGATATGATTTTTTTAATAGGAAACTCGATTATGATTCCAATTATTTTATTTCCATCATGAGCGCTTTCCTTTTCTCTCTCTCGCTCTTTCTGTATCGTTTTCTCCTTTTTATAAATTAAGAAAGCAAACCATAATGTGTTGCATAATGTTGATTTTTAATTCAAAAAATCGACCTTATTGACAGCTTCTAGAGCAACTCCATAAATCGTTTGAATCACCCGACGACTCGCAATTTATTGGCTCTTATCATTACATCAACTCGCACAAGGATTTATAGATGTTTAATTATTATTATTGTTACAACTGGGAAAATGTTTTTTTGGCCTTTTATTTTACAAAAGATGTCACATAAAAAGCATTTATGTTTCATGAAACAAATTAAAAAAATAATTCATCAGATTTGAGGGCATTTTTATAACAAATAATGAACACTAGTTCACATTTCATTTATTTTTTTCCGTCGATTCATCGAAAAATTTCATGGTTGGGGATGAGCGTGGATGACCGTGTGGATGGTTGGGGATGACTCACATTGTTCATTTCATAAAAGAAATTGACTGTAAACTGATACGCATTATGATAAAAGAAAAATGATCGAACCACAATAAAGCTTAACATCAAATTAATTTACTGAAAAAACTATAATAATTGAGATATTTCAACTTTCAATGCGATTTGTTGATGATTATTGCTGCAGCCACTCGTAGGCGATGAGATGGAATTTAATGATCAAAAAAACTAAACTCGTTCAAATAAATAAACTTTGTAAACTGATGATGTTAATAAAATAAAGTGAATTATGATGGCAATTTTTAAAAAATCAAATATCTACAAAAGACTTTTAACCATGGAATGATTTAAATTATTTATAATCTGATAAATTATAATGTATGAGTGATGGACATTAAATCAGTTCAATATTTTTTTTTTTAGAATTGATTCAACTTGTTTAATTTATTCATTACACGCAAAATATTTTATTACATTTTCTCGTTTCAGATGAAACAGTCACAAACAGTACATGCAGATGATTTAATTTTATGCATGACTTTAAGTTTGAAAAGAATGTCTACAGAGTATTGAAATGTATCAAAGAAGATCAGCATAATGAGGCACCAACAATGTCTGTCGGTGTTCAGAAAGAAAAAAAGAGTTATCGAGCCATTTTCTTTATATGTCGTTGAAAATCGAAGCTAGAATTCTATGTTGAATTCTATGATTATTCGAGAGATTGTTGCAAATCTTGCAATGATTCTAATTTCTTTTAATTTTTATTCCATGTTGTAAAATGATGAGCTTTAATACGAACGTCATTATTTAAAATACTGAAAGTTGAGCACAAGAACTCTGCTCATATAGAAAACTGGAAGAGTTATGTGAAGATTCTTCAAAGGAGGATAATAATTTCTTTTTCTCTCCATAGGAAGATTATTAAATATGAGAATGAAAGGATGGGAAAAACATTGATCACAGACTTGAAGTTACAAGATCGTAAAAAAATTGTTTTTAATATCTAGGATTACGATTTGAAGTCAGGACATTTAGTATTATGTACCGTAGCTTAGTTTTTATTTTTTCCTGTCCATAGCACGGATTTTAAAATAATATAAAATTTAAACTCTTAAATGATGAAATAAATTTGAATAACTTTACTTTAATAATTCACTTTTGATGCACGAAGACGAGATTACACTGAGTTGAATATTAAAACGTCCATTAAAAGTTCTTTTATCGTGATTTTCATGGATAAAACCCAAAAAACGTTGAATGTGAGAAGGAGAAATATTTAACCTGATGCACGATTTTATAGATAAGAATAAAATTCATTCAACGCACGCTCTTTGAATTGTTAAGAAACTGCATTTATTTTGTTAAACTTTGACCCAAAAGCCTCATTTCCTCATTCCCTCAAGACTTTAAATTAAATATCAAATTCATAATTTTTAAATTATTTAAGAAAAACTATCAATTGAAATAAATTTAAAATAACAAAAATTCCAATCTGATTAAAATTCTTCTTCTCTTCTTCTGAAAAAATCTATTTAAACAAAAGTTGTATTCACAAAAAGAACTCAACTTGCTGACAATGGAAAATCCATTAGAACGATTGGCATGACATCAAGTTTAAAATGTAATCGGATAAATTTTCTTTATCTGTCATCAGACTTACAAAAGTATTCTTGTTATAAATCATGTTTCTATGTGAAACTTTCAAAGATTTCTTGCTTCGAGATAAAAGGTTTCTAAGAAAACCTCAACTTCTTTTAAAGAAAAATAATTTGAGTATCTATGAAAACCTCAAACTAATGATGATTGAATGAACCGAGATATTTTCAGCAAGCTTTAATTTCTGAGTTGAATAATTATATAATGAGATGGAAACCTCATAGTTATCCTATTGTGGTTTCTTATAAAGGAATTATAAACCAAGAAGTAGCTTAAATTTGTGTCGTAAATTAAATTAAATCTGTCACTGAAATCTTCCTTCCTTTGCAAGCAAATGAAACGTCATACGTGCAGTATTTATTAAAGCTAGATGAGTGTCAAGTTGTTCTTTTAAATATTTGTAATTAATTTAATGACAGCAACAACTTATCATGACATTCAAATAATTTTTAAGTTTTGAAAATTTTAAGAAGCACAGAGAGATTTATAATACCAAAATCATGAAAAAAAAAATGAAAATCTACAAGCAAGGACGCCGATAAAAATATATTAAAAAATTACTCACCAAACGTTCATCATCATCGTGGTTGTCTAAGTCGCCCTTTTTTCCTGAACAACGAGTGTTTCTGGTGATCCATCCCTTTTTATTCTCGTCGTATTCGGGGAATTGATTTTGCAATTCGTTGGAAATAAATTTCACAAAAGCTTTAGCTGTTTTTGAGCCATCTTTTTTTACGTATTTTCGCTTTGCTTCGCAGTAGGTATAAATTTGATCGAAGTCATTGAACTCGTTACGGAGTTGTCCTAACGATATTGCAGCCATTATTTTATTTTTTAAGAAGGTTTTAATATTTTTTAAGAATTTTGCGTTCGCGTTGGTTCACTAGTACAATTTTAGTACTGGGCATTTGCGAAAAACCCTGAATTTCGACAAGTCCAACTTAGAGAGGTAAGTTTCGAATTTTTTT